GTGGTGTTGGGTTGACGGTTGGACTCGATGATCTTGGAGGTCTTTTCCAACCTTAATGATTCTATGATTCTTCACATTTTCAGTCCATCAGCTTCTAATTCTGGGCTGACTCTCATATCAGAAACCTAAGTTATGTATAGCCATTTTTGAAGAAAACAATTGAAATTGCATAACTGTATGACTCCCAATAGAAAGTATTGACTGTATACAGAAGACTAATTCTTGGAAGCTGATATAGAAGCACAAAGCTGACAGTACAGATAGCTATATGTTAACACAATAATATAGGTTAATAATAAAAAGTCTAAAAAACAATAAGACGATGGTATCTATTTCAGCCACGAGTTGGAAACAGCTTCAGATAGTGCTCTTCAACCAAAACACAGCCATTGTATGAAAAGGTAGGGGACAAAAAGCTTTCTTACTTAGGTAAAAAACAAGTTTTGACCATTTTTAACAATGGAAGACTTTCAAAATGTAGATGAGGTAATGGGAAGTCCCAAGAAAATTAAAGAAAATGGTATGACCTGGCAGTCTGCGTTAAGCTAAATCCAGATTAGTCAAGCAATCCAGGTCATACAAGTGGGTAAATCAATTCACATACTGCCATGTTGGATTAATCATCATCAAAAATGGTTATGAAATTCCTGAGTTAAACCTTCATGAAGGTTGAGGAAACCTATCTAACTTACTGTTTCATTCTGGTATATTATACAAATGTCAGCTCATAATAGCTTAATTATAATAATACTTAATCATAATCACTCAATGGAACTGTATTGAATGTCCATGTCCAGGTTTTGACAATGAGGAGGCTGCAGGGGTGGCCTCTCTGAGAAGAGGCCTGGGGCTGCCCCATGCTGGACACAGACAGTTCCATCCAGCTCCAACAGACCCACCACAGGACACAGCTGAGCCCGTTATCAAAGCTGGTGGTCCCTCTGTGAAAACATATTTAAGAAATGGCAAAAAAACTGGAAAAAGAGAGAGAGAGAAGAGAAGGGAAGAAATGAGTGAGAAACAGCAGAGGGAACACCAAAGTCAGAGGAGGCACTCCTTAGCAAAGCAGGCACCCCATGAAGGGACTACAGCCCATGGAGGACCCACACTGAAAAAGAGGAAAAGAGTGAGAAGGAAGAAGTGGCAGTGAGAAACCTCTGCAACCCGACCACAACTCCTCCGCACTGCCGACTGCCTCATGGAAGGGACTGAGTGTAACTTATGGCTACAACAAGAGGCAACAAATTGTCAATAATTGAAACTAGTTTTCCCCAAGTCAAGTCTGCATTGCCTACAACAGTAACTGGTAAGTGATCTCCCTGTCTTTACGAGCTTTCTCATTCCTGTTCTTCCCATTTTTCTTCCCTATCCTGCTGTGGGGGGAATAAGCAAGTAGCTGGGTGGGCGTTTGGCTGCCAGCCAGAGCCAACCCACCACAGGAACATGCACGAATTTCATTTTGTAGAAGTCTTCTTGGATAAATATGAGAACTGCCACAGAAGTAGGAACTATACACCACATTTTCAGTCACTTTTTCTACAGATCACATGCTGGACATCATATGCAACTCCATCACTGTAGTGCAAGCACAATTCTGGGAAGGCATATAGACAGTTTTACATGACAGCAGAACTCATTATGAGGCCAAACTATACCGCCAGCTATACATGCCTTTGCCAGCGCAGCAGGAAATTTTCACTTGTGTGTCTTACTAACTGCTAAGATTTTAGATTTTTTGAATATGGACTTGTGTTTTCCCATTTTACACCACTGGCTATATTTTGCTATATATTGTTTGCTATTCTATTAAAAATATTACTAATAATGCCACACTATCCTGGCTTTACTTCCTATGTTGTACTATATGCAAATGCTAGCTTTATTCATAATGATGCTACTTTAAACCGTCAGGTTACTTGGGCTTCTAGAAAAAGTTTTGCTGTCTATACAAGACATAAAAGACATCACATTATAATCCCACTTTTTGGTTTCATAATAAAGCAGCATCCACATTCAGCAATGCTCAATGTAAAAGATTTGTCAGTTTTTCAAATGATGCTAAGCACACATAATCAAGCATGTATGCTAAAGTGATCTTGAGAACTTGAAAAGCATATTATCTTCCTCTACTAATTAATGGACAAAGAAAAACAAAATTAAACACTTCTAATCTGACTATTTACTATAAATGGAGACACATAATTAAATATATCCTAGCCCACATGTTTCCACTGTGCATTTCAAAGCGTGGCTCTAGTGCTCTGTGAGCGCTCGGTGCTCTAGCAGGCAGCTCAGTTAACCTTTGAGGTCAGTGCCATCTCTATAATAAGGGAAAACGGTGCCTCTCATTAAACAGTAGCAATCTACATAAAATAAGAAGAATATAAAGTTCAACCCATCACCCAAGAGGGGCACTCAGCTTGTTTGAAAAGGTGCACGGCTCGGTGTTGTTTCCTGAGGGAACTGTACAGTGCAGGGAGGTTGAAGCATCCCGCCTGGCAAAGCGACCCTCCGGGGTGCCTTGCAGAGGCTGCTGAGGGCTGTGAGCCAAGTCGCTCAGCATGGAGCATCGCTTCCCAACGCTCGCATCAAGCTGCCTGACCCAACCGGAGCCTGCTCCCGAGAGCCAGCTGTGAAGTGATGCACCCTGCATTTCTCAGCACTGCACCAGACTGTGCTACCTGCTGCATGCTGTGTGAGTATGAGGCAGTACGGTTTATTGCAAATAGCCATAAATTAATCTACTAACTATATTCTACTTGTATAATGACACATTGCAGCATACATGTTTAACAATATAAAAAGAAGCTAGTCAAAACTATGCCTCGTTTTTGGGCCATCAATACATAAAAATATTTTATGAGAGACAGAATAACAAAGATACTTAGTATTTACAAAGCACTTTTATATACAGACTTGCTTAAGCAGACTTTTCACAGGAGAATTAGAGACAGGAAAAGCAACAACTTGACTGCATTTGCAGAGTGACATAGTGCCTTAGTCAGGACAAAACCTCAAGTCTCCTAAACTCCCAGGCTACTTCATTCTCTTCAGATCTCAGAAATAACTCAAGGGTCACTTTGTATATTTGGCAGGATTACTAACAGGCTGTAGTATAAAGAAATTATAGTTAAAAATGTTTCATTCTTTATTGATACTTCCTATTTGCTTTTTGATATAGGAAATAAAAGACTATTTGTTTTCCAATCCTAGCACTAGGTAATAATGAATAAGCAAGAACAAAAAATACATGTTTATATGTATGTGTATACATATCACAGAATTTCGGCTTGACTACTTAGCAAAAAGGGAGAATGTTTTACCCCCTTCCACAGGCTTAGACTAGTGACCTCTAAAACAAGCGGATTTTAGGTTTCAGAAAGCCATTTCAAACTGCTGTTCCTACCTGCCTTCGAGAAGCAATAGTGCTATTGAAACTCCTGTTAGTCATCTTGGAATTCACAGGCTTGCTTTGGTGAGCCACGTTATTCCTCCATGTCTTAGAGTTTTCTTTTGGGTCCGAAGGGATGGGGTTCAGGAACAGTATTCTAGCAATCAGGCCATAAAGGACAGTCGCCAATACCATTGGCACAACATAAAATATACCAAAGTCCATCATGTAGATAGGAGAGTAATAGCTCCTGGACACCTTGTAGCCACAGGACACAACAGTAGTGTCTTTGTAGACTACTGTGTTAAGGTCTAGCAAGAAAAACCAGAGCATACAGTATATGGAGGTGAAAGCCCAGACAAAAATTATGATCTTCTTGGCTCTTGAAAAAGTGCATAAGAACTGAGCTTTGATTGGATGGCAGATGGCTATGTATCTCTCAATAGTGAAGGCAGTGATGGAAAAAGAAGAAGCATTGATCCCTAGGTACTGGAGATAAGTGATGCAGAGACACCCCACGTAGCCATACACCCAGGATCTATACAGGCTTTCTGTGATATTAGGTAGTCCTGCAGCCACAAGCACCATGAGATCTGCCACGGCCAGACTCACCAGATAGCAGTTAGTGGGAGTTCTCATGTGTTTGGTTCTGAGGACCACCAAAACCACCATGATGTTGCCCATGATGCCCAGTCCACAGATCAGGAGGACCAAGACGATGGTAACCGCTTGGTATTCAGCTGTAACGATCTCCTGGCTTGATAGTGGCAGACCAGTTTGGTTCTGCTCATCCCCTGTGCCATTCTCCATCTTCACCAGCCCACTGCTGCTTCTGCCCAGCACTCGGTCTCAGCACATGTTCTCCATGGTCCTCTCCAAAAGGGTGAGTGGAGCAGAGCGTGGGTAAGCCATAGCCCCAGAGCACATTCTCCATGTAGTCACAGTCCCATTCCTGTACTGTCCTCCACTCACCCAAAAGCACATGCACTTTCAGTCTTTGTAAATGCAATTACCAGACAGGTTAATCCCTTTAAGATTCCAGCTCATTCACACAGGTTACAAAGCTGTTTTCTCATAGCCGGTTCGAGGCATTCATGAAAACACAGCATGTGGAGATGGGAGCTTTCCCCCCTGCAGAGGAGGACGAGGCAGCGGCAGGGAAAGCAGAGCCCTCCTGCACTGCCAGCTGGCTAAAGCACTGCACGGGACTGAGCTGATCTAGTCCAGGCAGACTTCAGCATCACCACTTTCCAGGAGGAGTCACAACGCACTGAGGGTGGAGACAGCAGCAGGAGGTGAAAGGAGAGTGATTTATAAAGCCCCACAGGTTTTCTGCCTCATGCTGCTTTCCCTCTCTGCTCTCAGACGGCTATCTCACGTATCGATCGTATTGATCCACCCTGGCAAACAAAGGGGAGATTGACTGGCAACAAAAAGACACCAATTTCTAAAATTCTGACTTTCCCCGAGTCCCTGTCCTTGTGAAAGTGATGGTAATTTACACTTGCCTCCTGCTTTGCAGGGAACTATAAGAGTCCCTTCAGAGCTGACAGAAAGAAAGGTACCCCAACTTTTGAAAACAGCAGGAAAAATTGGGTTTCTTCACTTTACAGACAATTCTCTTCAAAACCTCTATTGCTATTGCTGTCATCACTCCCGAGACCTTTCAGCTCTTTTCTGTAGCACAGCAACAATGAAACCATCAGAGCACAAATTGCTTCTTAATGAGCTCAGTGACACACACGCACACACACACACACACACACAGTGTGTTACTAATCCACCACCGTTTCCTCAATGAAGAGTCTCCTCTGGTTGAATAAACTCCTCCTTGTTCAGTCAGGTTGTGTAAAACCACAGACAAATCAAAGACTGGTGGAAATAACCACTTTGAGATGTGCTGATGAAAGACCTACAGATGCAATAGCAGTATGCATGAGCCCAACTGCATCTGGAGACGGATGCAGAGCTTCCCTGTCTCACGTGCTGCCAATCTTAATGCCTCAGTGAGAGAAACAATAATAAATCCTTCTTCAGGGGTCTGTGAAAGAGCCCTTGTCAGCTCCCCATCACGGTGTTTCAACCCATTGTTTCTCCTTATACTATTGTGTTAAAATGTTGAAGATTAAATCTGCCTTAAAATCCCTTTTTTTTCCTCCATTTAGAGCAATTGTTTCTGCTCTTTGCTCAGGAAGGGTTCAAAAAAATAAAATGTTGCACAACTGGGGAAAGGCAACTTGGATTTCAAAACAGATTTTAGTGTTAAGAGAGAAGGATTAGCATAGGCACATGGTGTAATGTTTACAAAACTAGGATTTTAAATAGCCTGAAACGACAGGTGGTGACAAAAAGAGAATACCACCTGAACCAGAGCTGGAAATCAGACTCAAACAATTTCAGAGGTTTGAAGCCACTCAATTAAGTCTTCCAGTCATTTTTTCCATTTGCCTGTTCACACTTCAATTGTGATCAGATGCTTTTAATCTGTAGACCCCAAAGTACTTAACAAGGTAAAGCAAATAGCATTATTCCTATTTAACAGATGAAGAAACAGGGGTGAAAAGAATCAGATTCACTGCCAGTGGCCTAGCAATCACCTGTGGGAAAATTCAGGTTACTGGTTACTTGAACAATGGTATATCAACAGAATCGTACCATGGGTCTCACTGAGATTCTGCTCCATACGATCTGCAGATCCCATTATTCTGGACACAGCTGAAAGTGGAAGAAGGCCAGCGCTAGTGTGACACCTGGGTGTCAGAAAAAAGATTCCTTCCAGCCCCCTTCACACTCCACAACATTTTGTCCTTGCAAACTGGACAGATTCCCCGTTAACAATCTATGCTTTTAAAGCTACGTGGCTAGATGTAGCCCCAGATGCTCAACCCCATAGCATAAAACGCAGCAGGAGGGAGCCCAGGAGTGAACTAGCACAGATTTGGCGGCAGTAATCAGGGACCCAGCAGGGATCAAACCCAGCAGGGCGTTGAACCGGAGTTCATACCAGGAAACTGAGTTAGCTGACAGCCTAGATAAACCCCTTAACCCTCAATGGCTTCAGCTGAGTCAGAAGTTTTTGGCACCTCCATAGACTGATTTCTCTTTGGGGGGTGACTGATGCCTTTCTGCCACACTGTCCCACCATGAAGTCTTGTTCCTCATGTTTCCATGTATTCTGCTTGCTTATGTAGGCGATGTGGATGGTCTGAGTTGGGGCTGAGGAACTAGTGTATCTGAGAGTACATAAGCGTTTGCAGTACCAGAAGTAATGGCTGAGGACATGGGATACAGAGAAACTGGAGTGTATTTAAAAGCCCACATGACTTTGAAGCGAATATGGGAAGTCTAGAAGATGTGTAAGAAATGTATTGTCTGATGCTTGCCTGGTTATTCTGTTGCATCTGCTACTAGTCTATATCAGAGATGGGATAGACCATCTTGTCTTGTCTCAGCCAGTCATTCACTTTTTATGGATTTTTGCCAAGTGTTGCATTCTGGTAAAGAAAAAAAGTATACAGTTATCACTGTGTGGCTATAGGGAAGTATATCTACAAGAGATGTTCAGAGGATTTTGACAGTATTGATCAATATCCTTTATGGAGCGCTTCCCTTTTCTTTCTATACAGTACTTCCCCAACCTGCAATATTTCTGTAAAATCTTCAGTAATTGCAGAAGGAATTTCAAGACAGTGTAAATATATGTTCTATGTAATTAAAGTATCTGGTGTCATGGGTTTGGCACAAACATCATGTGATGCACATTGCCTGATACATTTAAATTATCATTTTAACATGATCATCAGAGATCAGATACTGAACCTGGGAATCAGTAAAAGACCAGCTTTTTCTCCCAGTTAATGCTGTGTTAATGCAACCTTCAAAATACACTGGCTAGTTTTAAAAACAGTTCAGCATTAATACATGCAAACCCAGCAGCTGTGCCAGAGAAATTTTGAGAGCAGATGGACCAGGGATCACTGTGAAACTTTTAATGCCTGTCTGTTACTCCACTTTATACACATACCTGTTGGTCCAGGCATCAACTGACATTACGTGAACAAATGAGTACAGGCCTTTGGGTAGGAGGGAGAGGGGGAGGCATCATGTTGATACACCCTGTGCTGTATACCGCTTAGCCAGCAATATTCTTGCCCAATTTTTTTCCTATTTGTCTCAATTAAAATGCATCTCTGCTACCTTGAGACACAACAAATCCATAACAAACTGTCTCATAACGTTACATGTGCTGAGATGTGCTGAGCTCAACAATTGTGATGATGGTACGGTTGAGTGTTTATGGGTAAGGATGAGGGGGAAGGCCAACGAGGCAGATATCCTGCTGGGAGTCTGTTATAGACCACCCAACCAGGATGAAGGGGCGGATGAAGCATTCTACAAGCGGCTGGCAGAAGTCTCGCAATCGCTAGCCCTTGTTCTC